GCTCATCCACAATGGCTACATGTGTTGGCGGCAATCTGAATGTCAGTATGTTGGAGGAACTATACGGACCATGTGAAAGCACTGACAGACCCAACACAGCTGGACTCCATGTCTCAGTCAGGGTTGGATGTCATCACAAAACCATATGCAGGTACAGAATGAGATCAACAAAGTAAATAAAAATAGCAAAATATATAAAAAAACTGAAAGGGTTCATTCTGGAGTGATTTTAAACACAGAAAAACAAACATAGTCGATCACGCTGATCCAAGCCGTTGGACGTCAAACCCGTAGACGTCAAACCCGTTGGACGTCGAAGCCGTTGGATGAGCGCATTAACCCGTTGGAAGTCGAACACGCTCGACCCAAACCCGTTGGACGTCAAACCCGTCCCAGGAGCCCATTAACCCGTTGGGAGTTGAACACGCTGGACCCAACCCGTTGGACGTCAAACCCGTCCAAGGAGCGCATTAACCCGTTGGGAGTTGAACACGCTGGACCCAACCCGTTGGATGTCGAACCCGTCCAACCCGTTGGACGTCGAACCCGTTGGATGAGGAAGTCGAACACGCTGGACCCAACCCGTTGGACGTCAAACCCGTTGGACGTCAAACCCGTCCAGGAGCGCATTAACCCGTTGGGAGTTGAACACGCTGGACCCAAACCCGTTGGACGTCGAACCCGTTGGATGAGGAAGTCGAACACGCTGGACCCAACCCGTTGGACGTCGAAACCGTTGGATGAGGAAGTCGAACACGCTGGACCCAACCCGTTGGAAGTCAAACCCGTTGGACGTCAAACCCGTTGGACGTCAAACCCGTCCAAGGAGCCCATTAACCCGTTGGGAGTGGAACACGCTGGACCCAACCCGTTGAATGTCGAACCCGTCCAACCCGTTGGACGTCGAACCCGTTGGATGAGGAAGTCGAACACGCTGGACCCAACCCGTTGGACGTCAAACCCGTCCAGGAGCGCATTAACCCGTTGGGAGTTGAACACGCTGGACCCAAACCCGTTGGACGTCGAACCCGCTGTAGGAGCGCATGAACCCGTTGGGAGTTGAACACGCTGGACCCAAACCCGTTGGACGTCGAATCCGCCATAGGAGCGCATGAACCCGTTGGGTGTCGAACACGCTGGACCCAACCCGTTGGACGTCTTATCCGTCCCAGGAGCGCATTAACCCGTTGGAAGTCGAACACGTTGGACC